GTCCTGGTGGTGGTGAGCCTGGCTACGTGCCTCTTGGGGGCTAAACTACCATATTCAGCCTCATCTGAGGAAGACAGAGCCACTCAGGTAGGTCTTGTGATGTTTTGTGGCACACGGAAAATTCATAGTCACAACTGGTCTGGAATATTACCCTTCATAAAACTATAGGTCTCTTAAAATACAAATAATGCATGAATCTATGATCCTTATTGTGAATGTTGAATGTTGTTTCTTTCTCTTCAATATCAGGTCTTGAGTCGCACTGTCTCCGTGAAGACCCCTGAGAGGAAATCCAGTGTTATCTCACACTTCCTGCCTGCCGATCACAGATATGAAGCTACGGGATCTGTCAGCATCAGCAAAGGCCCTTCTTCCCCTAGAGCTGCTACCCCTGCACCTGTCAGTGCACCAGTTGCCAAAGTTCCAGCCGCTCCAGCACCCAAAAGCCCTGTATCCATTGCACGCACTGTGAGTGTAAAAACTCCTGAGAGAAAATCAAGTGTCATCTCTCACTTCACTCCTGCTGACCACCGTTATGAAGCCACTGGAAGCGTAGTGATTAACTCAGGCTCTTCTGGCCAAGCGAGATCACGACCCGCACCGGCGCCTGTGCCAGCTGCACCACGCGTTTCTGCTCCTCCTCCACCAGCCCCTGTTGCGCCTTCCCCCTCACCAGCTGCTAAGCTATCTCTATCCCGTACTGTTTCTGTCAAGACTCCTGTAAGGAAATCTAGTGTTATCTCTCACTTCACACCTGCTGACCACCGTTATGAGGCTACAGGATCTGTTGTCATCAATCAGTCTTCTGGATCACCTGCTCGAGTGCAAAAGGTAGCAGCACCTGCACCTGCTCCAGTTCGACCTGCTCCCACCCCTGCTCCTGCTCCTGCCCCTGCACGTGCTGCCCCTGCTACAAGCTCAGCCCGTAAGTTGGCTCTCAGCCGCACTGTGTCTGTTAAGACTCCTGAAAGAAAATCAAGTGTTATCTCTCACTTCACACCTGCTGACCACCGCTATGAGGCTACAGGATCCGTTGTCATCAATCAGTCTTCTGGATCGTCAGCTGCTCGTGTGCAGAAGGTAGCAGTACCTGCTCCTGCTCCAGTTCGACCTGCTCCCACTCCTGCTCCTGCTCCTGCCCCTGCACGTGCTGCCCCTGCTACAAGCTCAGCCCGTAAGTTGGCTCTCAGCCGCACTGTGTCTGTTAAGACTCCTGAGAGAAAATCAAGTGTTATCTCTCACTTCACACCTGCTGACCACCGCTATGAGGCTACAGGATCCGTTGTCATCAATCAGTCTTCTGGATCATCAGCTGCTCGTGTGCAGAAGGTAGCAGCACCTGCTCCTGTTCGAGCTGCTCCTGCTCCAGTTCGACCTGCTCCCACTCCTGCTCCTGCCCCTGCACGTGCTGCCCCTGCTACAAGCTCAGCCCGTAAGTTGGCTCTCAGCCGCACTGTGTCTGTTAAGACTCCTGAGAGAAAATCAAGTGTTATCTCTCACTTCACACCTGCTGACCACCGCTATGAGGCTACAGGATCCGTTGTCATCAATCAGTCTTCTGGATCATCAGCTGCTCGTGTGCAGAAGGTAGCAGCACCTGCTCCTGTTCGAGCTGCTCCTGCTCCTGTTCGAGCTGCTCCTGCTCCAGTTCAACCTGCCCCTGCTCCTGCAAGGGCTGCCTCATCTGCAGCCTCCAAGCTCTCTCTCAGCCGCACTGTTTCTGTCAAGACCCCTGAGAGACAATCAAGTGTCATCTCTCACTTCACACCTGCAGACCACCGCTATGAAGCCACTGGATCTGTCGTGATCAATCAGTCCTCTGGGTCATCACAAGCAAGAAAAACTTCATCCTCTGCTGCTCGTGTTCAGAAGGTATCGGCACCTGCTCCTGCTCCAGTTCAACCTGCTCCCACTGCTGCTCCTGCACGGGCTGCCTCATCTGCAGCTGCTGCCTCCAAGCTCTCCCTCTCTCGCACTGTTTCTGTCAAGACCCCTGAGAGACAATCAAGTGTCATCTCTCACTTCACACCTGCAGACCACCGCTATGAAGCCACTGGATCTGTCGTGATCAATCAGTCCTCTGGATCATCACAAGCAAGAAAAACTTCATCCTCTGCTGCTCGTGTTCAGAAGGTATCGGCACCTGCTCCTGCTCCAGTTCAACCTGCTCCTGTTCGGCCTGCTCCAGCTCCTGCACCTGCAAGGGCTACCTCATCTGCAGCAGGTGCCTCTAAGCTCTCTCTCACCCGCACTGTCTCTGTCAAGACTCCTGAGAGACAATCAGGTGTCATCTCTCACTTCACACCTGCAGACCACCGCTATGAAGCCACTGGATCTGTTGTGATCAATCAGTCATCTGGATCATCACAAGCAAGAAAGACTTCATCCTCTGCTGCCCAAGTCCAGAAGGTAGCAATTCCAGCTCAAGCTCCTGCTCCTGCACCAGTTAGACCTGCATCTTCTGCTTCTGTACAAGCTGCCTCAGCTGCAGGTTCATCAGCTTCTAAGCTCTCTCTAACTCGCACTGTCAATGTCAAGACCCCTGAAAGAAAATCAAGTGTCATCTCTCATTTTACACCTGCAGACCACCGGTATGAGGCCACTGGGTCAGTTGTCATTAACCAGGCTTCCGGTTCCTCACAGGCTAGAAAGACGTCCTCTTCCTCAGCTGCTCGCGTCCAACAGACAGCAGCAGCAGCAGCTGCAGCAGCTGCTGCTCGTGCTCAGCAGGAAGCAGAAGCTGCTCGTGCCCAGCAGGCAGCAGCAGCAGCTGCTCGTGCCCAGCAGGCGGCAGAAGCTGCTCGTGCCCAGCAGGCGGCAGAAGCTGCTCGTGCCCAGCAGGCGGCAGAAGCTGCTCGTGCCCAGCAGGCGGCAGAAGCTGCTCGTGCCCAGCAGGCAGCAGCAGCAGCTGCTCGTGCCCAGCAAGCGGCAGAAGCTGCTCGTGCCCAGCAGGCAGCAGCAGCAGCTTCTTCTGCCTCAAAGTTATCACTGACCCGCACTGTATCTGTCTCGACACCTGAAAGACAGTCTAGTGTCATCTCTCATTTTACACCTCAAGATCATCGTTATGAAGCCACAGGTTCAGTTGTCATTAACCAGGGTTCTGCTGGCTCCTCACGAAAAACCTCAAGTGCCTCATTTAGCGGCCAAGGTGCATCGTCAGTGAGCTCTAAGGCTACTGGGCAATCATCTTCATCTTCCAGTGGCAGTGGACTGGCATCCTCTTCCAGTGCCAGTGGATTTTCTTCTTCAGCTGGTGCCAGCAGACTGGTATCCTCTTCCAGTGCCAGTGGCCTGTCTTCCTCAGCCAGCAGTAGGAAACAAGCATCCCAGTCTTCCAGGTTTTCTTCATCCTCGGCTTCATCAGGATCCTCTTCTGCTGCCTCATCCTCCAGTTCTTCCTCAGCAGGATCTCGCTCACATTCATACCGTCTCGCAGAGCCCTTTCGAGGTGGGAGTTCCTTTTCATCGGCTGACCTGATGGAAGAAATGTTGGCTTTCCGGGCAGAAGCAGCAAAGTCTGGTGTAGCTTACCCTGAGTTTAGAGATACCGGCGATGGCAGCGTACGTATCTTTTCCAACTATCAAAGTATTAAAACTGGCTTGGTTTGGGTTTTATAGACTGTGACATTACAGTATAATGCCCACTAACATGGACTTATCCAGGTATCACAAAGATTATTAATCATGTCAGTTTTATCATACTTATTTTACTTTTCACTTGATCATTATAGTTTTAACAAGGAAACCTCATCAGATTTTATAGACTGGACGAAGTAAGAATGGGACATCAGAATTAACATAAACTTGTATATTTGTACATTTATAAATATAAACATTTACAAATATCTATTGAAATTACATGGTAATGGGCCTAATCAATACAGTGATAAAACCACTTAACCGGAGGGTTTTGAGGATTTCAGAGTGTGAACAGCAAATAACTTTTTATTGTTGTGTCTAATGACTCCATTGTTTCGAGCAACTTATTGCGAATTTATAAGCGAACCACGGCTAAGCGTCACCACAAAGTGATCGAACTCTAATATTACTTTCCTTTGTCAACGTCGGTAGCTGCTATAACCTGCCTGTGTCCCCAGGGCTCTGACCCCTACGCCTTCAACGTCCGAGTGGAAGACCACGAGAATACGAATTACCAGAGTCGAGATGAATGGGTTGGGGAAGACGGCATAACCCGCGGCTGGTATACCGTGCTGATGCCTGATGCCTTCTTCTATAACTACTCCTACATTGCCCACCCCGTTAAAGGTTACCAGGTACACCTCAAGGAGAGCAGCTGTCTCCATCCGTTCATGTCTTTCTCTCTACATCTTTTATCCTAGTTTTATCTATTGAGTTAATACAAATCACTGTAAACAGTAAATACTGGATACTGCTACATTCAAAGGCATGTCAGCAAAGTGAACGCAGCGATTACAAATATGTGAATAAACACTTACTGTGTATCATTGCGTATTGTAGTATTAGAAAAAAAAAAAAACATGTTAAAGAATGACATCTATATTTCTTGGGAAAAAAATGAATGCGAATGATATGTTGAAACAGCTTAATAGTAAACAAAAGTAAACAATGAAAACCAGCAAAAACAAAACAAACAAACAAAAAACTCAAAGCATATATATGACTAATAGGGAAGCTTGCTGATACCAAAACACCTGCTTTACCTTTTGATGGAAAGCAGTTGATTTACTACACTTCGTGTTTTCAGGATGAATATACGATTATGTTTGGTATATCCGCTTATTTTAAGAAATATAGATATCATTCCTAAATGCAAGAGATTGTGTGAGTTGTAGTGTAGTTGTAATTTTTGCTTGTGGGCCCAATTAATACGGTACTCCCCTCTCCCTTCCCTCCTCTCTCTCTCTCTCTCTCTCTCTCTCTCTCTCTCTCTCTCTCTCTCTCTCTCTCTCTCTCTCTCTCTCTCTCTCTCTCTCTCTCTCTCTCTCTGACTCACCCCCCCCTCTCTCTCTCTTTCT